ATGAGAGGGCTGGCTATCATCTCTGTGAAACTTACAAACAAGAACAGGGCAGGCTAACTAGGGCTTGCTAGTGCAAAAGGACACGCAAGAGAGGAACGGGAGTCTGGAGACCGGAAAGTAAGAGGCAGAAAGGGATGGATTTGAGAGATGTAATTACTGAGCAACACACAAAGGATGAACTGGGTCAGCTGAAGGATCTCTCAGTCACTGCTTCTGTCTCAGTCATTATTTCTGTTTATTACTAGAGGCCATGCTTACGAGTTTTTGTTGATAAATAGCATGGTTATCTGATCTTGGAGTACCCAGGCAACACAACAAGTAGACTCACCATCCTCATCCAAGTGCACTTTGGTTGAGCACACAGTCACTGCTGGATAACTCAGTCATCATACCTACAACTACACAGATAAATTCTCTGGCACCAGGTTGAAGATTTACCTTGGCTGTGCAAGGAAGAAAGTTAGCAGATGTGTCAGCAGATGGGGCACTGTACAACCATCTCAGCACTGGAACGAAGCCTGGAGCAGGCAGAGCATCCAAAGGCTTTTGGATTTCACAGTAAGGTCAAGGAAAGCAGGAGTGACCCGCTCCAGTCTGATATATTAACCAGGTCCTTTCAGATACAGACCTTTGCAACTGTTAGTATAAAAAGCTTTTGTGCACAAATACAATCCTGCTTTCCTCTCTGCCCCGGGACGCTCTGAACCCACCAGTCGCTCCCCAGCTCCACTCCATCTCCACAGGCCACTAGAGGGTAACATCAGCCCAAAGCCTGAGCCCCAGCTCCAGCAGTGACTCACGCTGAGCAATGCTGCCTTGCGTGGGTAGAGTTACAACATTTTGACAACTACTGGCAAAGCAAGATACTAATCAACAGCCACATGGGATGGGAAAGTCCAGAGCCTGTACGATAAGACACCCTGGTACAACAAAACAACTGGCTGGAAGGCAGCTGGGCTGGGACTGCCTCACTGTCTTTTCTCAATAGCACCCACAGGATTTTTGGGTGAAACCCCATTTCAAAACAGGGAAAAGGCACTCAGGAAACTAAAGACACACCTTCAAAACGAGCAAGTCTTAGGGCTGTATCGCTTTGAGAAACAATATAAAGGCCGTTGTTACAAACATCAAGACATTTTTCAGCCTTGTTGCTATTTTAAGAACAAAAGGTTCAAAGGTCCCTGAGCAAAGATGGCCAACACATCTGCACTCTGCCTTTGCACAGCATGCTGCGTAAGGCAGCAGGTCTGCGACTGCCGCGCGTGTGTGTGCTAATGCAACAGAAACAATGAAGGCACATTTTCTAGTAATTAATGAGTTCCAATTGCCAGGTTGGGAGAAGAGAAAAGATCCTGTTCCTGGAAGCACTGAACATTTCAATTCCCAGAATCAGCCTTTTCAAAAGCATCAAAATGAGTATCCCAGCTCCTAAGTACATATAAAAACACAGGTTACAGAAAACATATCGCTGCACAGATGGTATATAAAAGCAAGAAGAACAGAGCCTCACTGGTCAATGAATAATACCAAGAAGAATCAAACCCATTTAGCATCTAGAGGAGCGAGAGGATGTGTGGTGCAGTCCTTTGTGTCCTGAACAGTGCAAACGGAAAGTTCAGCTTGAATTCCTGGCTGTAAAGGTCAGTAGGTAAAATGTGAAGGAGCTGTTCAAATCCCAGAGCCTGGAGTCAGTGTGTACACAGCACCCAGCCCTGACTACTCCCGCGTGGATCAGGGACGGCTGGAGGACTTTGCTCCAGCCTCATGTCAAGCACAACCTCACAAACAAGTAGAGAGAAATGGGGGGAAGGTGTGAAGCAAAAGATGACGGGCTCAGAACCTGCCTGCGATAACACGCTCCCTCCCTGGCACATGCCGAATTTGCTGGCTGGCAGTGCCAAGCTCTGTGCTGCTCTAAAGCGATGGAGAGGCGATTCCTAGTATGAGATTCTTGCAGCCCAGGGAGATGCAGCTCCCCCTTGGGAACAAATATTGGACAATAAGAAACCGAGCATTGAAAAAGAGGATAAATAAATAAATGATAACAAGATTTCCACTGTTATATGTATAGCAAGAAATTTTACAGAACAGGTATACTGAGAGGGGAGCCTGGAAGGAGACAGAGCCTCAAAGCTCATAAAAAATGCATGGAAACAAAAATCCATTTACCAAAAAGAAAAAAATGCCTTTAATTTAAGGCCCTAATGCCTCCTAAATCAATAGATCGATGGCTGTTTAGAAACTTCTCCTGTCTTGCAGCCCAGAAGTACACTGAGACTCTCCAACAGCATCTCAAACCGTGCTGCTCTCTAACACCTTTCTCCAAGGGACCTTTGGAAGAATCCTTCCTGCTCAGTTCTGCAAAGCCCAGTGGTCCGTGAAAGGCGCTGGCAACCTTCCCCTGTCCTGACTGTCTGAGAGCTTCAGAGCATGCAGGAGAAATGGGCCTGGCGAGTGTTTCCCTGGGGCTGCTGTGCCACAGCGGGGAGAGCTGTCCGTGCAGATCCATCCCCAAACCCCGCTGCCACGCCAGCGCCTGCACCGCCACGGCATGCTTGGAGGGCGAGATTTCCAAGTAGGGAGGTCACAGGCACAAAACTGGGGACACACAGCAAAAGGAAAACACCCTGAGCTATTTCTACTGCTTACCAACAGGCTAAAAAGCAAAACCCAGGCTCATCTGGCTGCCTAGGCTGAGGTGGGTGAAGGGAGGGTCCCGGGACTTCACCTTCACATGAAAGGTGCGAGTGTTACTCAGATAATTACACACAAGCCAAGAGCACCAGCTGCTGGGAAGCTGGTGAGAGGCAAAAAAAATAATCTGTCAGTGTATGAAGAAAGCTTGGGTGTCCCAGTCTGTTCCTAGTGCTACAACAGCATTTTTGCCAAGCAAATGAGAGCAGATATGGTTGTACAGACCACCTCTGGGAAGAAAATATTCCCCCAGCCTGGTTTCCTAATGTTGCCCTTGTGGAGCCACCAGCCTGCCTCTCCTCTCACCCCATCCATCACCCCGAAGCAGCTCCAAAGGGTGCACACAGCAGCACCTACAGGCTCCCAAACCCCATGTCAGGCCACTGTAAATACCAACATGGGAGTGTCTCACACAGGACAATCCCCATTCCAAAACCTTGCTCCCTAAAAGTAGTAGAAGGTGAGACAAAGGGAGCACTCCCATCTGAGCAGCCATGAAAGGGAGCATGGAGAAGGGAAGGGCCTTCAGCTGGCAAAAGCCAACGTGTCCCCCACTCTGCCCACCTTATAAAGAAGAAAAGGTCAGAAGAACAAAGGGAAACACGTACAAGGGACATGCAGCATCCACAGAGGCATCCAAATGAGATGCGACGACAGCGACCAGGACAAGGAGTTTACAAGGCCCAGGCGACCCGCAGGGCCAGGCTTGCAGCGAGACAACGCTGGGAAGTGCCCTGCTTCACACCAGCTCAGCCTCAGCTACACTTCACTTAATTTTCTTTAAAGACTCCATGGCAACCAAGGATGGGGAGACGCGGCTGTGCAGTGACCCAGGCTGGGCAACCCACAAAAGCCTGGCTGGGCAGACAAAGCTGAGCTGAGCTTGCTTTGGCTGCCGTCACAGCAGCCAGCAGACCAGCCAAAATCCTAATAAGAACTTAATTAGTCAGGATATGGCAGCTCTTGCCCTGGCAGACAGAGTCTGAGGCCTTGATGTGCCCCTGTGTTGTGCTTTACACATCCCCTGAACCTGCTGCTGGATGAACAGCCACCGGCTGCCCCAGGAGCTGACAGATCTGGGCTCACTCCACTGTCAGATGTAGTAGCCCTGAGCCTACAGTTTCAAGCAGCTTTTCAAGTAGACAAGTCTTTTCCTTCACTAGGACAAGCTCTCACAGCTGCAGGAGGTACTGCAAGGTTTACTCAAAGCCATGAGTTTGACTCTTGTGCCTCGGAGGATGGTGTTTTACGCACAAAAGTAATACAGAAGAGGAAAGTCACCTTCGTGAAAAGCTCCTGTTTCAGCATCTCACCAGACAGGGCTGCAGGAAGGCCAGTACAGAAGGGCCATTGCGAGGGCACACAAACTGGCCCGGGGTCCCGCAGCCGTGGCTGCCACTGCTATGTGCAGAAAAGACCCATCACATATTGATAAAAGATGGAGAAGGCCCAAAAAGATGCACAGCAGCACCTCAGGACAGCAACATCCAAGGAGAAGCACTGCTAGGAAGTGGCATGGACTATCTGCACAAACTCCCAGTTCAGTATATGAAATTGCCTCGTTCGCATCGAGCTCTAACCAGATTATGGGCAGAAAATTAAGCTATAAAGACAAAAAGCATTATAGCTTTTTAAGCCAAAAAGAATCAGCCCATTTTACAACCCACTGCTACAACTAACAGGATTAGCTACAAAAGCCAGTGCTTGGCATTCAATTTCCTATTTTATTGAAGAAAAAAAGTGAGGCTCATCACCCTTTAGAAAGCCATTGAGCTAAAGGGAAAAATGCTGCTGAAGGTATTGAGTGTTTTCACTCCAAGGTGAAGGCATGTAGCTCAGCAGTGCACGATGTCTTTTTCACTTCCCAATTAGCGAACCCAGGCCATGTCAGAGCCAGGTGGGAAGCAGGTCCTCAGCTCTTCACATGTGAAATAAGTAGATGGGGACAATGTTGCTGGTGGCCAGAAGAAAGAAAAACCTAGCACAGTCCCCGCTCTCCCAGCGGCACTACTCACATCTATCATCGTCCGCCAGCCCTCCGTTTTCCCCGAGAGCAGGGGCTCCGGGCGAGCCAGCCCCGCGTTGTTGATGCAGACATCAACTCCTTGATGAAGGGTCTTGATGGCAGAGAACATGGACAGGATCTCCTCTTCGTTGGAGAGATCACACTTGTATGGGATGAGGGTCCCTGGATAGCCAGCACTCTGGCATTCAGCTGCCAATTTCTAGGGGAAAAAAAAAAAAAGGAAGAAGATAACAGCCATCAGCCTCTTCTCCTTGTGGAGCAGCTTATCCAGCCATTTGCTTCAGAATACACCCCAGGGCTAACAAAACACAGCAGCTTCCCGGTGAGCCCATCTTAAAAGCAGGCACTAGGGAAGAATCATTGTAAATGCTAATTAAGAAAAAGGAAATATCGATATACATGAGAGTCTGAGCCCTTCAGCCTTTAAGTTATTAAACTTGAAGACACACTCTGTGCTCATCCATCACCCTGGGCAATACAGGTCCAGGTGGGCAAACGCTGGCAAGATATAAATACTGCTGCAGCACCAGGCTGCAAGTCTGCCACGCTGCTGCGCGGGTAAGGGACGCAGCAACCGCGTGCCTGACAATTCCTTATTAGCCATTACCAACAATTATTCCAAGCATCTTTTAGAGGACTAGATGATATAAAGCAAATGAAAGGCCAAGAGCTGCTGCTGGCCGCCTGCGTTAATGATGCGGCAGCCACGGCACCAGATCCTCTGGAGGATACCCTTTACCCCTGACGCTAATGAGCAGCAGCATCTCATCTCTGATGCGTCACATCAGCGACAGTGACAGCTTCCAGCGCGAGGCGAGAGCCACGTGACGTCTGGTTTCTGCGGAGAGATGGACTCTGGCTACAAACCTCCACCAAATCACTCCAACGCCATCGCCGGCAGCGGTTTCACCAACGCGACATTTCAGAGGGTGCAATGAAGCTGCTCTCCTGCCAGAGGCAGCTCTCCCGCTCCTCCCACTCCTCCCTGCATCCCAGGGACTGCAGTTCACAGGCGTTTATAAAAGGAGGAGCAAGGCCCAGCACACAGTGCCCTGGCTGGAAGCAGAGGACAGCAGGATGGTGGTTGCACGTGAAGGCGGCTGTCAAACATCCCAGCCCCAGCCAAGCACCTGCCCTGGAGCTCACCCGGCCTCAGCCAGAAACAAGGACACAGGAAAGCCAGACCACCAGCTGCAGCACCTGGGACCACCCAAAACATCATCAGGAAGCTTGCACTGGAGGGATGCTGACTATTTTTGCTCACTATGAGGTAGAGCATCACCTCCCAGCCTGGCCCAGCCCCTCCTGGCCCTCCAGGATGACACATGGAGAAATTCCCACATTTTTGAGAAGGCAGGCAACTCGGTTAGATGCCACAAAGTCCAAAAAGGGGGAAAAAAATCCACCTGAAGACGTGAATTGGCTCCCAAATCCAAATTGCAAGGTTGCTCTTTGTCAGTGGATTTTTTGGTGACCAACTTTCTCTTAGGCAAGTTCTATACAGTGAGGGCTGAGCATCCTCACTGGGAGAGGGACAGACAAGCCAGGACCTCCAAACCCCGTTCTGTGCCCCAAGCACATTCATTTTCATTACTCTGGGGCAAGTGGCTCTGTTCAGTAAATGATTTTCAAACTTTGTCAGTACCTCAGACCACCGCAGAGGTGGGCCGAGTCCCTGAACAGTGAGTTTAAGATTTTCTGATTTGCCTTTCAGAGCAAACCACAACTTTCATGGACCACAAGCCAAAACCAGCCCAGGTCTAAGGGTCTGGTCCAGAAGTCACTCTCCTCTCTGGGTTCTGCTTCAGTGAAGGCACTGCAGTAACACAAGAATTATTATTATTGCTCTCACAGCACCACGAGAGAAGGGGACAGACATGCTGAGTTCAGCTGGGAGATCGATACATCCCAACAGCATCACACTCTCTGGAGAGCTCTGCTTGGGCTGAGCTAGACAGGATTTTTGCCTGATGGAGAAAAAAGGTGCCCCTGGGACTGAACTGTACCTGTCTGTACCCTCCCGGGGCGGGTTTCACTTTGCTATACATGCAATCTTCTTGATTATGTGCTGATAATGGAAGAAAAACATGTATTATTTTCAAGATCTGAGTACACGCTTGAGAAAACAGTTGGGGGAATAATCTGCAAGAGTAGCATTTAGAAAATTAAAAGAAAATTAAAAGCCATATGAATGGCTGCTGGAAGATGCTAAACCAACCACTCCAGGGATGATGCCTTGTTCCTGCAAAGACACAGGAAGGGAAAATGGGCAAGGGGCCCTCAGCCATGTTCTTCATAACCTGGGTGGCAGCTTCAGAGCTCTCTCCATCCCACTGCCCAAACTCCAGCACTCCACTAAGGGATCCATCCCATTCAGTATTTGGTTGTAAAGTACCATAGCTCATGTCTGGCACTTTTCCTTCCTAGTTCACCAGGTCATGGCCAGGAGTACAGTCTTAGTTTACTCTTGGAAGAGGGTTGGTGTCCTGGCACCTCCTGCAATTGCCAGGCTGTGTTGAGTTTGCTTGAACGAGAGCTGAGTTATCCTTCCAGTGGTGCCTCCAGTCTTCACTGCTGGTGTCGGTGCTCGTTGCAGGTAAAGCAGGGTGCTGTCTCTCAAAGTTCGTGTACTCACACGCAGAAAGGAAAAGCAAGGCACCCACCACATCCCAAGGAGCATCACGGTGCATCCCAGAGCTGTGATGGGAGGAGGAAAGCTTCCAGCTCATGGCAGGAACCGGGCCAGC